ATTAAATGCACTTGCGATAGCTTGTAGATTGTTAGTGGACTTCCCTTCAATATTCAAACTTTGTATGTCTTCATTAACAGATTTCTTTCCTGACTCAACTTTCACAATATCCCAGGTGGTTTTAATTTTATTGCTTGATTTTAGAATTTGGCTGTTATAGTTATTCTGTTTGGCTTCTTTAATGACTTTTGATATTTGGCAGGCACATTCACCCCACCTTAATTCTTATATATTTTCTTCTGTGGTTCTTTGCAGGACAAAGTTTAAAACAGTAAACCCCATGAGGAAGAACTAAAAAAAAATTCATAGGGAAATTGCAAAAATTCCAGCACTACAGCTTCAAGGGTTAATCAGAACCCCCTCTGCTGGTTCAAGGAATGGCTACGTGTAGGGGGACAGCATTTTCAACACCTTCTGTGTACTGTGAATTGTATACTTCATTCCAAATGTTACTGGCCACAGGCATACTCATACACTGGCAAAATTTGTACGCACCTTGCAGCCAGTAGTGCATCAGTTGTTGTGAAGTGGCCAAAAGTAAGAAACTCCGTCTATATGTAGATGTAGAAATTTCCTTTCATATTCACTATTACCTTTCTTTGTGTGTTTAATTACATCCATTGTAGATTCCACTTCACCACCATTGCGTCTATATTTTAGGATGTGTTGCCAATTCTTCACTATTGGTTTTTATATCTCTTACACATTCTCTGTATCTAATGTTTAGTCACCTTTCTGTCTAACCGAAAAAAAAAAAATCTGTCATGATAACGAGTCACACGACAACAGTTACACAGGCAACTCTAACGGTGTCAGGCATATTAAATTTACTTCAAATAAATGGCAACAGGCAACACGTGTCTATAATATGTCATACATTGTCACAATCTTTAGAGAATCATTAGTTAACCTGTTACAAATCCTCAACACAATGACATCGTTATGTTATTACACGGATACAGACTGCATGGGAGACAGAAAACAAATGATAAACTTCAGCATTTATAGGTCCTGGGAACCCTATGATGTAGTACCAAAGGACTGCTTAGTGGATTGGACCAACAAGGAAATTGTGACGGATTTTTCCTGCTATGGAATTTACCACAAACATTCAGTTTACACAATATCTATTTTCATCCATATTAGAACTGTTTAATGAAAATGGGAGTGGTATATCACACGCAACAATCAACGTACTACAGTTGCATAGGAACATTTTTTTTGGGGGGGGGGAAACCCCTTCAAAATGTAGTCAATAGCACAGTGGAGCTGTTTCATGTTCACAGAAGCTGCATATTTGTTATCTGCCTAACAGTGCACATACAGCTCACCTCAGGTTCAGCCTTTATTTCTGGAAATGTTATTCTGACAGGATCCTCTTCCTCTTCAGCATCTGAGACTGCCTCAGCTTTTACATTCATGGCCTGATCTGCATCATGAGGTATTGGGTATGTCTCACCATATGCACCCACTAAAGCATTCTCCAAATTTGTAGAGCTCTGTAAAAATCATAAGATGGGCAGCTCATATAGCAAGAATGGGGGAGAAGAGGAATGCATATAGGATTTGTTCAGAAAGCCAGAAGGAAAGAGACTACTACGAAAATCTTGGCATATTCATTCATTCACTCATTCATTCATTCATTCATCTGTAATCTGTCAGACGACAGGTCCACAGCCTCTTCCAAAACAGTTTCTCCACTTAATGCGATCTTCTGTTTTTGGAAAGAGACTATCCAGGAAAAGTGATAATGTGGTAGTTTTTCCATTTGCTTTCCACATTGCAGTACAACAGCCGTTCAAACCACTCTGGTCACGCCTGTTGCTATACGAACTTGAACCATCTCGAGCATAATTTTCTCTGTGCTTCAAGTCGCTGCTTCCGGCATCAGTTTTCGGTCTCTCTCTTCGTCTGATGCCTACCCTTTGACCTGTCCAGCAAGGGAGGCCCTGCCAGTAGCTATGCTACCACTGGTATAGCTCTCAGGGTCCTTGGCATACTCAAACCCCCTCACCACGATAAGGTGGAGACACCAACGAGTGGGCTTGGCATATGTGGGAAGAAAATATTTAAATGGATCTTTAAGAGACATAGGATGGGGTTGTGTGGACTGGATTCATATGGCTCAAGACCGGGACAGGTTTTTGTGAACATGTATCCTAAGGCAAACAGACCAAGTACAAACCCTTCCAAACTATTTCTTTAAAATCTATCTTAACAGCATCTCTCCAACCACACCTAGGTCTCCCAAGTTGTCTGCTTCTCTCAGATTTTCCGTCCAAAACTCTGTATGCGTTTCTCACTGTTGCATGTGCACTACATGACTTACCCACATCACTCTCCTTGAACTCATTGCTCTCCTACATAATATACCAACCCGTTATCACCCAAGTGTATGAAACTCCTCACATGGATTATGCAAACAAACATAAGTGTGTCAGAAAATATTTAGTTTCTTTCGCCAAGACAACTGAAATACAACAATAAAATTCTTGTCTGTGCACACAAGCACGAAATGCTCACAATCCTTTCGCTTACAACAGGAAATTTTTCTTGAGCTCTCTGCAGTACAATTCTTGCCCCTATTGTTGCAAGAGACTGCAGAATCTTTCGTAACCTTGAAACGTCTTTATAACATGATAAATATCTTATGGGGTTCATTGGAATTAGCTCACAAGAGTCCTAGTAACTTAAATTCTTGGTTCTAACTAGTGTACCAGTAACTAATTGTGAACAGTTCCGTGACTCCCTAAGGATTTTTCCTGCTACAGAATTCCTCTCAGATACTATTCCATTTTTGCAAAATTTAATTTCATCTACATTAGAACTGCTTAAAATGGAAATGGAAGTGGTACATCACAAGCGGCATACATTCAACAAACTGTAACTGTCCAGAGACACTTCAGAAAAAGGTCTTCAAAGGCTAGTCAGCAGCACAGTGGAGCTGTTCCATGTGCACAGACAGACAGCCAGACAGATGGAGATTAGAAAGGCAACAGGAATTCCTGCCTATCTGTGATATCTGCCTAACAGTGGACATACAGAAGCATACAGCTCACCTCAGGTTCAGCCTTTATCTCCTGAACTGTTATTTGCAGAGGATCCGCTTCCCCTTCTGCATCTGAGACTTCCTCAGCTTTTATATTCATGGCCTGGTTTGCATTATGACTTGCTGGGTATGTCTCACCATGTGGACCCACTAAAACCTTCTCTGAATTTGTACAGTTCTGTAAAGGCACCACATCTTCTGTCAGTCATAGCTGTATAACACCATACATGAAACAATATATGCTCTCCCTGCTGTAGCTGTTTCTCATTACATCTAACCCATAACAGCTGCTCTGTACAGATTTCTTCTCTACAGACTTCATAATCTTAGGACGTGTTAAGTTCATAATGCAGACCTTCCTGAGAAACCTGTGGTCCCTGTGGAAGTACAGACAATATGTATCTGCTCTTTATGGAACCTAAGCACTCATTACTGTGTTCACACATGCCCATCATGACTTTGCATCCTGACACAAACAAACCCATTCCAAAACCCCCATTGTACCTTTAAAAAACCCATCTTCACAATTGTCTCCCAAGTGGTTGTATTCTTTCACGTCTTCTGTCCAAATCTTTGTACACACTTCTCATTCTCACATGTGTGCTACATGACCTAACCATTCCACTCTCCTTGAATTCATTCCTCTCCTACATAATATACGAAACTGTTATAATGTGAAGAACCATGTAAACTCTCCAGATGGCTTATGAAAACTAACATAAGCTTGGCATAAAAAGTTTAGTTTCTTAAAATATGAGGACTGATGACAATAAAATTATTGTCTGTGCACACAAGCACAAAACACTCACCATCCTTTCTGTCACAGCACGAAATGTTTCTTCAGCTCTCTGTAGCAGAATTCTCAGCATTCCTGTTGTAAGAGAATGCAGAATCTTCCATAACCTTGAAACTTTATTTTATCACAAGTGCTGCTTTGTGGGTGGCATATGAACTGATTTACAAAAATCCTAGTGTACCAGTACATGGCTCTGAATATTTGCCCAAGTCTGTAAGGAAATATACTAATTATTGTGAACAAACACATTGATGTGAATTTTTGTTCTCACAGCAGAAGCCAGCAGAGTTTATGAAGCTTAGTGTTTTATTACACGTTGTGTAGTCTAACAGAGTGTTGCTCAGTTTTGAAAGCAGCTAGTTCACTCATTCTGAGTGACTCTTGCTTTCAAAACGTCAGTAACTGGCTACATACTGCACGGAGTTACGTCATACACACAGCAAACCTACTCTACAAATCTACATCGCAGAGCCGCAAAAATGCATTTGTATGCCCTGCATACATACCATAGACGATCAGCTCTCACTACTTCCTTTAGATGTCGGATTGGTATGTGTAACAGGCGAGAAAGGGCATAAATATGCATTCTACTAGAAACATGACCCTCAGAATGGGCGCTGCTCAGTTTAGAAGAATCCCAACTAGAACTTGCAACAGTGGAATAATATCACGAACACCGTATTTTTTTCAAAATATGAGGAAACTGCATTTCTCTCGAATGATTCCCTAAAGAATACCCACAACTTACACACTTCTATTACAAATGTAATATCCGGTACAGACCGTGACGACGATGCTACAGCTTGTTACAATCATGGCGCTCGAGGACCTCGAGGGAATATTGGTCACTGGCGCTCGTGGTCTTGGTACCGCGGCCGACACAGAGGGCACAGACGCACAGAGAGTACTGAACGGACTGGTGTACATGTAATACTAATTCTGCGCAGCAGATGGGTCTGCCAACACCCCTGTTTGTCAACTGTCGCCTAGGCCTTTTTTGTATTTACGATCAGTTTTCCCCCACAAAAAAAAAAAGCATCTGTCGCCATTCTCACGAAAATATCAAATTCGGAAAAGATTGTTTTTTTACTTCAATATTGGGTGTTATGATTTGGCCGTGGGATTTTTTTTAATGTAATGTCAATAACACCAACGACATCTGGGAAGAAATCATTACGCTTTCTCTCCTTAAAATGTTTCAGTATGGACCGTATGGACGGTATGGACCTATGTATTAAGATGGGCGAGAACTTTTAAATGGATACTGATTCCTGAAAACAATACTGAGGGAGCCCGAGAAGCGCAGTCGATATAGTTACACAGGCAAATTTTACTTTTTTTCTGCAAAGATCATTGTCTTCTGGGATTCTCGTCGAGTAATTTGGTAAACTACACGGCGTCACTTTTTTATTCTAACCCTAAATATTGAGACAACGGATTCCTCTTAAAAGTTAATGGAGGCATCAGATTCCTCCATGCAGACATCTAACATACTATACGGCTAACATCCATGTTCTACCCTGAAGAAGGAGGCCCCGAAACGTTTCAATATACCTGTGAGACACCCCTCTCTTCTACAACGAAGATGGAAGACTGCAGAATCCTCCGTAACCAAACTACACGAGGTCATAGTCACTAATCTATCCTGAAAAAGGAGGCAAGAGATTCCTCTGAAACGCTGACACCTATGTACCAAACAGCAAGGCCTGATAATCCTAGAAGACGGTAGTCTTAATGAGAATCTCGCTGACTCGCAATTTGCAGTATATACGATCAAGGAAAGAGTGGCATACAGAACGACTTCAATGGAAGCCATGTCGCTCATTCGTGTTCGTTAATTTAAAACAAAGGCTTAAGAATGTGTGACATAGCAAGCGGCACGCGCACAAGTTCGGGAGGTCCTGATGGTGAAGTCAGGTCGGTGTGCTGAGATAGAGAGAGAGAGAGAGAATGCTCACACGGTGGATACTAACTTCATAGTACCCAGGTCACTGGGCCATCCGAAATAATCTGAAAGGAATTTCTGCTCGATTCATTTGGATAACTAATTTATTAGCAATTGGTTAGATTTAACATTGGATGGACTAGGCGAGATTCAGTTAGGCAGTTCCAGATACCTGATGTAATAATGTGATATACTTTATCTTAATAGGCCTATATTACACATACATAAATATGTGGCTTATAATTGGTGTGTCAGGTGTTACATGCATTGGCAAATCGACTCTAGCACTGTTTGAATAAACAACTAACTGGTTTATTTTTGGAATTTCAGGATGACTTCTTTCTGCCTGTAGTTAGCCAGCAACGTACTTTTATCCCAGCTTTGAACCACTTTAATTTTGAAATTATGACGAGCCTGGATGTGGGAAAAATGCATGCTGTTTGTAATGCTTCGGCGACAGGTGGGGTTCGATATTCTACCGCTGCTGCCATATGTAATGCTTCGATGGCAAGGGTGGGTAAAAACATTTTACTCATTCATTCCGTCAGCCCATTCTCTTTGGTTAATCCCACCGCTGCCACCATATGCTGCGCCTGAAAGGGGGGGCTAATGGAATAATACTAAATTACTCAGTCGCCATCCCTTGGTTGGCTGGCCCCTCCGTCAGTGGCACCACTTTGTAATGGCGTAAAGGCGGGCCTGTAGGTTCTAACCCGTCTCTAGCCACTACTTGTCACGCCCCCAAGACTGGTGTGTTAATTGATTACCCTCAACTATGATTCCCTTGGCTCCGAACCTTCTTCGTTGCATACAGCTGATGTTGGTTGCCTGGGGTCAGTTCTGCCTTCGTCGGGACTGGGATAGCTCCGGATTGGTCTGGGGAGGGTTAGTGCGTGGGGTGAATCACAACTCTGGTACATTCTATCCTAATTACACCTGTCTATTTAAACTCGTATTTACAATATAGAAATGCCGACGTTTGTCAGCTTTACATAATAGCGGTCCGATAACTGATTCTTACTTTCATTCTAATCTCTCGCTTAGAACGGATGGCTTGAGGCTGTCTTCTCTTCATTCCCTACCACTCGAAGCACCATCTCTGTCCTGTCCTATGTACACTGATTCTATTTACACTTCCATTTACCTCCTATTTACAATAATATTTACAGTAATAACAATGCCGATTTTCAGTATGGGCTACAGAGCGTCTTTACTTTATCAGGCTAAGACTTCATTGTGATCTCCCCTTCTATGGTGTCTGACTCGGGTCTGTCTCTCTTTTCTTCTCCTAATTAGACTCGTGCGGGTATACAAGTTTAATCGTTCGACGTGAATTTTTCCTCTCCTATTCATTTCACAGTTTTGCCCTATCTTATCATAACGTTTCACCTTTAAATATTCTGCTCCTAAAACTATAAATACTACAAGCTTAAGAATGTTTATCACAAAAGCAATGGTCACAACAATAAACAATAAATATGAGTGCTCCGCATACTACCAGCAAATCATAATACGCAATACAACAAAAACCATATTTACCACACTGGCAACCTCGGCCATTACTCGTTACACTAATTCTCCTAACCTCTTTGGCGTAGTCTCTACCCTAGCCTATCCAATCTCTCTGGGTACACTGGAGATTGCTTTTATTATGATTATTTGATCCTTCCCCTCAACGTATTTTTTCTCTCTCTTTATACTATGAAATAAATGGTATAAACTCCGTCCCAAGCGCAAACAATATATCATATCTCCTTGATCTTGCTCTCTTTTACACTACATGTTTCGGCCTCAAACGGCCATCATCAAGTGTATACACTCACGTTGCTGTTACAATGCACTTAGTTTAAAATTTAACATTTAAAAACACATTGTTCCTTTCCTTGTTATTATTAACATCTACTTCGTTGATATCTGTCTGGTTTATAGATTATTTTTGTTACACACGTTAATTTTGATTTCCCTGAATTAGCACTATAAAATCTTGAATTCTAATTTTAAATCCTTTAATTTTTTTTCTAAATTTTAAAATTTAAATTAAAAATTTTCAGGGTTAATCGCCCTATGTCTATAGTGCTGGAGCGGCTGGTTCTTGTTTCCAGCACTGTACAGGTGTTATTCTGTGTAGTCTTCCTGTGTGCGTGCCGCTGCTTGTCTTTACTACGTGTGCTGCAGGTGTTTGTATTCTCAGTATCGAAGGGTTTCTCATTTTCAATGACAAGAAAATAGGTGTCTTGTGCCACTTCTTAACTCTCACTAGAGAGCAATGCTGGGCAAGACAAAGTGTCAGAACATATGATCTTCAAGATGTATCAGGCTACTTTGATCGGTGTATGTGGTCTGAATATGATCATATTATGATGAAGTTTTCAGACAAATTAATTGCCATAGATGGAAATCAGAACAGAACCAGTGTATTGAAACAGGTTCTACTAGGTATTACTGAAACAGCTCACGAGTTGCTTCAATTACAGAAAAGTTGATGGCTGAATAACTTAGCTCTTCTACTTTGGATGAACCGATATTAATGAAGTTTGGAGTTTTAGAAGCGTTACTGAAAGGTAACAACCAAAACAAATTTAATCTAATATGATAACAACTGTCATGTGAATGCCCAAACACTTCTTTTCAGATTGATGTTCACCAGAATATATTGTAACGTGTTTCGATACTGAATACGCCGTAGAGATCATTAATTGGTTTATTGAACAATCTACAAATATCGGCTACAATTACTTATCGCAATATTACGGGTTTCCATACTTTACAAACCCTACAACCAAATCTCTTCACACTACCTTCAGGAGTCTTCACGTATTAACAACGCGGGAGCTATACAAATCTCCCTGAATTACACTCTCCAGATATAACTGTACTACAGCACTCACCAAGTCTCGAAAGCACACAATAAGTCTTCCGCTCTATGACTTCTTAGTTATCGCACACCCACAGGCTGCTACATTGAGATCTGTTGATAACACACTTACTCTCGCTTGCTGCTCGGTCGGCTTTTATTCCGTTCGCTGTTGCTAGGATCGCCCGCCACGTACCTACTGTGACGTGGCGTATAGCCTAGCAACGCTGTTACCCCTTGGTGACGTCACGGCTGTTGACTCGCGTTGCATAGTTACCAGGATGGTGGGACTCGGCTAACTTCGGCTCCGATCGGCTAATTTCGGCTGGCGGGGGGGAGGAGCGTCATCCATAGCTCAACATATCACACTGCTCCCTCCTGAAGGCTGTTCGTCTCGAATAGCCTAACGATGCACCCCCGTCCCTTTTCCGTCCCGTATCTGTGCTTGCAGTGTCTCCCGTTGTTTCGGCTACTCTTCTTTCAGCGACTATTCTTCGTCCGTTACATCCGCTCCCCTCTTAAGACAAAGCTCGTCTCGAGCGGCTTCCTTTCAGCTCGCCAGAAAATCAAATTCATCCATCGCTTTCTCCCATGGCACATTAACTCACTCTGGGGAGGCCGGTTCTTCTATTTTACCGGCTCCTCTTCTGTGCCTGGCGTCTTTTTCATTTGGAGGGGGTCGACCCCTCCACAATGTCCAGTCCTTGATTAAGTTTGTCTTCGGAGGTTCCTCATGTCGACGTAACAGCCCTTGATGCGTTGTTCGTCCTTGCCGACTTCGTCGTTCCCCCTGGTCTTCCAGCCGCTTTCTGGCACGAGACCGTGGCGCCAAGTCCTCTTTCCGGCATTCGAAGGTTCCCTGGGGAGTTTCCTTCTTGAAGGCATTTCTCCAACGTCGTGCCACTGTCGCGCGACGGGATATCTTCCTGCAGATGGCAGCCAANTCTGGACGTGCCTCCGTTTCTCGGCAGGCCATCTTCACTCCGACCGGTATTGCAATGGGGACCTCTTCTTGTTGTGCCGGCGCAGGTTTCGTGTCCGCGGCAGTCTTTACTCGCCAGGCGGCCATTTGTTCTCGCCGGGC